CCCAATAAATGGCTTTCCTCTCTTTCCTCTAAATGTACCTGCACTAAAAACCAGGTTTGCTCAGAGAAAACCCATGCGTAATCTATTCTATCGTTTCTATTTTTGAGAAGATGGAGGAGAGGAAAACCACAAAAAGATAAAACCACAACAGTCAGTTGAGACGTGGCCCAGAAAAGGCCAGGGCATGTGTCACAAGGGCACTGTGGGAGGTGATGCTAAGGGTTATTGCCTGGAATGCCCTACAATGAAAAGGGCAAATGGGCAGAGTGGACAATCTGAGCCATCAAATTCATCCAAGGTTACCATGGCAGGCAGCAAATGCCTGTTTCCTGACTGTCAGAAAATATACAGTACATACATCTACAGTAAAATGTACAGATCAATCACTGAGTATACTAATCTATGAATTATATTGCACAGAAAACAAAAAATGAAAAATAAGGCATATAAATAGTACTTCTGAAATGTACATTACATACAATAGACACCTCCTAGCTTGAAATAAATAAATAAATAAATAAACACAAAGAGAAAAACTCTTTTTTTTGCATTTCTTTCGAATTGTGTGCGCCACGATATACATAACTGTCTGTGTTTGAGTGAATGCATGTGTGAGGTAGAACTCAGAAAGACACACCACAGGAGAGAGGAGCCTCTGCCAGGGGGAGGACTAAAAATCATTGTAAGGGCACTTAAATTAAATATCTGAAATATCAAAATGTTGTAAAGAACTTGCCAAAAAAGTCTGTCTCTGGTGAAGGTCCCCAAATACAGAACTCGTTCTAGCCAGTGGAGTGGCCCATCTCAACCTGTTACAGTGCTAACTGTAGTCAGTGGCGTCTTTACTGCGCCACATTTCTATTCATTTACATTCACCCTGCTCTTCTTCATCCAACAGACTGTCACCTACAAATCTAAATAATTAAGTTAAAATAGTCAGTTTACAGTATGCTGTAGTAAAAAAAAAAAAAACTGTATCATGGCAAAAGACCAACTGACCGCTTGTCAAGATGTACACAATCAGAAGTGCATAATACTAAGAAATACATTAATCTAGATACACCAAGAAAGATGAGGAACAATCTCAAAATAGAATCTATTTGCATTAAGATCCAAAATGAAATGTGCTATAGTCTACTGTAAAAGACAGCACTGGTGTAGAGTCATTCAGATGTGCCAAAATCAAAAAATATAGTCAACATAATATTGCAATGCTAACAGTATGGTATTCAACTGTATAGCAGTAGCTAAAAAACAGCAACATGTAAAGTACACTCAAATCCCTCTCTTTTATAACACACATCACAGATTGACATCAAAACATACTCTGATTCTCTGCAGCAAAAATACTGTAATAATGATACAATTTCAAACCACAGTCATTTACAGCAGTATAGGGGAGAGGAAATAAAAACAAAGTGTACATTAAAAGCTCAGCCCTACAAACTAACATGAGAAATTCGGTTGGCTTAAAGCCTCTCCCATCATACAGAATGATGAGGAAAGGTTTGTTTTTGTGTATAGGTGTGTGACCGTGTATTCTGTGTGTGCGTTATCTGCAGCAGGCCAGTGCACCCAGAGAGGTATGGCTGTCCAAGCTGCTGTCTGTTTCAGAGGTCATGGCGGGGTCACTGCTCGGGTCAGTGGGCTCTGTTGACATGGACGAGACGTCATTGGCCGAAGACGAGGAGGAGGAGGACGAGGGCTGAGGAGGGCTGTCGATCACTGCTGCACCTGTGCTGCGAAAAACACGTCATCGCATAGGTTTCATTGAAATACACATGATTCTGCCATTATCTGATAACTCACAAATCCATAGGTGAACAGTGCCTCAGCCTTTCAAGGAAGCACTAGTATAGTCGTTTACAGGTCAAACTGGGGAAAAGCTTGTTGAGAAATTGAAGCTACAGTATTTTAACCATTTCAGCTTTGTATTTTAGTTTATTTAGGACCTGATTCAATACCAAGGCAAAATCTGAGTTTTCAAAAATCAAGTCAAAACATTTTGAGTAAAACTTGTAATAATTTGAGAGTAAATTACTATTGTGAGTGATATGAGAAACAAAATTACAAGTAAATGTTGCTTTATTACAATGTGTGTTGTCATTGAATTGGGTAGACTGCATTACAAGTGCATCATTTACTTTTCTTCACTGTACAGTTACAATTTATGTATTTCTGTTTTTACTATCCTATTAACAGTATGCTGTAGGCTGGTCTGTGTCTGCAGGCTGTTACCTCTGTGACGCAGCTTTACTTTTCTGATTGACTGGCAGAATAACTCTATAAATATTAAAACTTTATTCTCAAAATGTTTTAATATTTTTCTGAAAATATTACAATTTTATCAAAATTGATGAATAAAGTGTTTCAATTTTGTTCTGAAAATATAGATTTTATTCTTGAAGTATTACTTTTTTCTGAAAATGTTATAATACATTCATAAATTATTACAACTTTTATCAAAATAATGACTTTATTCATAAAATATTTCATTTTTATTCTTAAAATATTTGTCATTTTTTTCTGAAATCACTTATAGCCTATAGAAATCACTTATATAGCACTATTATGGAGCATCTGGAAGCACAGTCCAAGCGGAAAAACTTGATCTTTGAGGGAATCAAGGAGACAACTGGAGAAAGCTGGTCGGAAGCGGAAGGTAAAGTGAAGGAGATTCTGAAAAATAATCTGCAAATTCATCAATATGGAGACAAACAACAAGAGATTCGACGACATGGAGCGGGCTCACAGAATCGGGAAACCTTCAGATCGTGGTCCGAGGGCGGTATTGGTGAAGTTGATGAAAGAGAAAGATAAGGCACAAATATTGCAACAAGCAAAGAAGCTTAAAGGATCTAATATTTATATAAATGAAGATTACGCCGAATATGTGAGGAAGAGAAGAAGGGAGTGGATGCCGAAGTTAAGGGAGGCCAGGGAGAGGGGAGACATCGTGTTCCTGAGGTATGATCGACTAGTGACCAGACCTCGGAACCGGGAATCAGGACCTCGGACCAGCACACCCAGGATGCCAGGACAAAGAGATGAAGGGGTCGCTGGACCCTCTCATGTTTGAAGAGTCACGCAGGTATATTGATATCTGCGACGGCAGATGAGCGTTGAAACCAACAACAACAAGCATGACCCATGTACGGAATGAGGCAAGTGATTTGTTACAGAAGTTAATAGTTTTTATGTGACTGGAGCTGGAACTGAACACTATTGGAAATACTGACATTCATTATCATGAACCGGACAAAGATTTTGACCCTGAAATAAATTTTTTTAAGAACTCTGAAAATAACTGCAAGTATTACACGGATGAGCAGTTTAAC